GTGTGTATGGGGGTCAGACACAGATGGACAGCTGGTGTTTCAGTGGTGCTAAATCACTCACCCCTCCCCAGCATGCAGGCACACATGCACACACACACACATATACACACACACACACACACACATTCGCACAAACACAGATGAACACATCCCATCCCCCTTCGACCACAGGGAAACGCCCCTCAAAGCATTCCCAGCTCTTACTCTCACAGATAGCACACACACAGACACACACACCAAAATAAAAGCCAAAAAATGTCTAGTATGACAGTTTGGTCAGGACATATTACAGGTGATCATTTCCATGTTCATCCACATAAATCAGTCAAAGATTGCTTCACACATTCTTGACACACACACACAAACACACACACACACACAATCCCATTTTATGAGCTCATCAAGTCCCTCAGGTCACCAACCGCCATCTCAGTCAGGGATAAAAAAAAAAAAAAACACATCAAAAGGCTAACCATTTCACACACACGCACGAATCGCAAGCGCACACACTCAATGTGGCAACAGTGGCAGCATTAATTTCCTTGTGAATGCACTTGACTAACTCATAATAATCCCAAACACTGCTGGTAGACCACCAAGCAGCAACACACACACATAGCCAGGGGGACCACCAAGCAGAGGGGCTGTCAAGACAAGATAAGTGTGTGTCTAGCGTCAGGGTTTCGCACACACCCATTAATACAAATAAACGTCCACACACACATACGCACACACACACTGACATAGACAACAACAACACACAGCCTGGCCTGGACTCCTGGAAAAGCTCTGGCTTATCTCTCTCCACAGATAGTGAAATGGATTAAGAGCCACGTTTGGCATGTCCAGAGAACTGGACAGATAACCAGGAAAACACTCTCTCTAACTGCAATCACTGCTCAACATGATTTGTGTCAGTGTGTATTCCTGTGTGCGTGTGAGAGAGAGAGAGCGAGAGAGAGAGAGGATGCATTTAAGCTTGTGTCAATTCCCCCGTGTGTAGGCATTGGACAGATAACTGTGTGTCAACGTGTGTGTGCATTTGGGGCATGTGTGTCTGGAGGAGTGATGCTGTGGTTGACCCAGGACCCAATCAGTTGAAACACACACATTCATCTTCCAAGCACACACAGCGTGCGCAGACAAAGGGCTGTGTGTGAGAGGACATTCAGCATGTGTGTGATGTCAGCTGGAGACAGAGAAGGGGAGCCCATCATTTCCCCTTTATGCATGTATGTGGGTCTGTCCCCTGATACGACGGGCTTGCTCACTGACCCCCGGTTATAGACGCCTGCTATGAAGTTGATGGGAGGCTGAGATTTCCTTTAGGACTGGCAAACGACATCTTCTCCTCTGTTCTCTTCATTTCATTCTCTTCTGACAGATGTAAAGTCAAATGTACATACATTTTTACGCTCAAATAAAAAGGCTGGGGTAAATATTGTGCACTATATATCAAATACGTTTTTTATAATTCACAAGCATAATCTGCCTAATCATTGAATTTGTCAGTTGTTTTATATATTTCCCTTTGACTAGGAAGTTATGTTTTTGTCTTGTGTTTGTTTTTTGTCTGTTAGTTTGCAGGATGATACAAAGCTACTGGACAGATTACCACAAAACTTGGTGGAAGGATGTGGTATGGGTCCAATTTAAAAATCTGATGTGGATCTGGGGACTTTTTTTTTTAACTTTGTTTAACAGTTCTCAGAGAATTATTCATGGATCTTGATGAAAAAAATCCGGCATATTAAGGGGTATTTAGGTTTACATGAATTTAAGTATATATGAGAACTACTTGGTGCAGATTCAATTTAAATGAGGTTACATAAAGGGACTACTGGGCCTTGGTCAATGATATATTGTAGATCCTATTTAAAAGTTTTTATTCAAGGTTTTACTTGCTGTTTGCTCTGTTGCCCTTTGGTGAGGGAACAACCGAGTTCCTCACATGAATAACAGAATTTAAACTTGTCTTAAATAGAAAAGAAAAGAAAAGAAAAGTTTTGATAGCTGCCACAAAAAGAAAGAAATTATGAAAACAAGGTATTTCCATGTCTTTCTTTGCACCATTCTACATGTTTGCCTATTTATCTGTCTGTCTGTCGCTCTCCTTCTCTGGCTATTAGAGTCAAACCTCTGTCTTAATGGGCATCTTTTGTACCCTGCCCCCCCTCTCTATTCACCACACTACCACACGCACACACACTCCCTCTAAGGGGGCCCCTTAACCAGGCTCTCCATATGCCTGACCCCCACCTCTTTTCTCCACCTCCCTCTCTTTCCACAACCCCCTTCTCTCCTCTCCCCATCTCTTGCTTACACTCTGGCTCCTGCTCTGTTGCTGCTGCTGCTGCTGCCCCACGCTGCCATCTGCTATGAGACAACAGAGGTTGAAAGAGGGAGGAAGAGGAGGGAAAGAGCGGTGGAAAAGAGAACGATGTGAGGGAAGAAAAGACTGAGGGGGAGAAAGCAGGGAAAGAGAGGCAGAGAAAAGATAAAGACAGAAAGAGGGAAAGAGTAGGTTTGGACACAATACAACAGAGAGCAGAGAGGCTGTCCATCTGCTCCCCCCCTTGCCTCCCATCCCCTCCTGACACACAGCCTCACACACACCACAAAGAGAGTATTTAACCCCAACGCACACACAGACGCACGCACACATGCACACACACACACACACACACACACACGGGATGAGAGGAAGATAGAAAGACAGAGAGCAGCTCAGCCTCTCTCTTTAACCCGTTCCTCTCCAGTGAGCCTGCCTGTATTACACCCTTGGGGTAGCAGGTGATGGCTGGATGGAGGGAAAGGATGTAAGCGGGAGCAGGGGGTAGAGGGATGGGGGATGGGGGAGGGTGTGTGATTGAGGGACAGAGCGAAGGGGATGAAGGGTTGAAACTGATCTGAATCAACACCAACACATCGTCCGCTCCCCACCCCTCGTCTACCCAAACCTCAATGGGGACCAGCTTGCTGCCACTGTCACTATGACAACCTCTGTCAATCATACTGTAGCAGCGGGCTTCCAAATGGTGAAGGGTGGCGCTGGAAGAGGAATGGCTGCTCAAATGTCAGAGTGCAACTTAGCTTACTGACAACTTTAGTGGTAAACATACAGGTTCATTCTTTAAGGTAACATCAGGTCAGACATGTTCATCATGTGCTTAATGGTGAGAATGTTCATCCTGCAGACAACTAACAGAAACTGTGGCTAAGGATGATGTTGAAACTTGCAGGTGACAAATCATCACTCATGTTTTCTTTGGATCTCAGACTGTGAGCACACAGTGTCAGCGGGACTTGGACATTTTACCCAATTTTAAAACTATTTGCATATGTTCCTTATGTTTGGAGACCTAAAACAAAAATAAGCCAATAATTCATAAAAAAAACTCATAGAGCTCATACCTAGGCCATGACCCAATAGTCCCTTTATATTCGATCAAACTGCACCAAATTCCACACACCCATAGATATCAGTCCCCTTAAGGCACTTGATTGTTTTCATTAAGATCTATGCCTTGTAGAATTTCCGATTAGCACCAAAATGTATTGAGCTCTTCTCTGACCCATACCACATCTAACGTCCACATTGTCACCAAAACAAGGATATTGTTATCCTTGGAGTCTTAAAACAAAAATAATCTAGACTTTCATAGGTGAAAATGATGATTGAGGCAAGTCTGAGAGACAAGTTATGCATTTTTCGGTGTCCCAATGACATTTGCCGGCATATAAAACGCAATGACATCAACAATAGATATGTCCATTGAAAACAAAGGTAAACAGTAGTTTCACATGACTTTTCAAGGAATACCTCAATTTAATACATTGACCCTACACACTCCAGTCATGCACGATGTTATGACATAGTCTTGTTCTGTTCTCTTCGCTTGTTAATCATCTTTTGACCTACTTACATTTATCTTTCAACCCCTATTTGGGCCCTAGCCCCCATGTTGGGAAACAGTAATATAAAGAATGCACCTGTATACAGCAGGCTTCATGAGACTACAGGTAGGCACACTGATCAGCAGGTCATCTCTGACTGACTGTACTTCCTTTCATTATCTGACCTCATTTCTTAAGAAAAAGCGGATGGATATTCACGGCTGGTTAGCCACACACCTATTTCCCTCCCTAACAGATCCTCGATGATGCTGGTTGTCTTTTGAAATTTGGACGGATGATGGGTTGTTTTAAGTTTTATCAGTCCCCTTTGAAACATCCAATCCTGAACATGCAAGACCATGTTACTGGTAAAAACAACAATCCTGCAGATGTGTTACCTTACAAGCCCCTGAATCTGACTTAATACCACAGCACAACACCACCACTGAAGCACGACATGGCAAAACATGGCAAAACACAGCCCCCAGCATCATGTTGACAACATGACGCCTGTGCTCCTGCTGGGCCTGTCGAGCTCGGTGACATGGAGATGGCTGTCAGGTTTGGACACACACACACCACCATGTAGGTCAACACACACCGCAAACACTAGATTCCCCCAAGGACCTGTACATACACAGTGTCACACACACACCAAACACCGGCGTAGTGTGTAGTGATGGAGGGAGGGGGCCGCAAGTGCTGATTTCGGAGGAGAGGAGAGGAGAGGAGAGGAGACAGGAAAAGGTCCGTGTATATGACCACAAATGGAGAAAGCAGACACCAGCTGTCACTTGCTTATGTCAGCCCTATTCTCAGCTCCTATGTGTGTGTGTGTGTGTTGTGTGTGTTGTGTGCTCGAGTGTGTCACTTTGTGATCTCAGCTTGCCATGACTGGTTTCAATTACGCAGCAAACTTTGACCCTTTGTAGCCAAGTGAGGAAAGAAACTACTGATGGGGAGAGGAGGAGCGCGTGAGCGAGATGTTGAGATAAGATGATCCCACATGAATCAAAGCTCAAACAATCAAAACATACTGTTCATGCAATGCTACACACCAACTTGAAACTAATACCACACATACATCAAGTGTCCTGGCTTACCCTTTTTCTGGGGGGTCCTCGCTCTTCGTCCTTCTGGCCCCGGCCTGCTCCCGCTCGTCCCTGACGCCCTGCTTTGCCTTCTCCAACTGGAGGCCTGATGGTCATCCTGATCTCTGGCGGGCAAATGTAGTTCTCAAGGCTCTTGGGGAGCTTCTTGGTGCGCTTGGTGGTCTGGATCTTCAGCTTTAGACTTCCTTCCTGGAAACTTGCCTCCTTGATGGAGAACTCTTGCTCCTCCAGAAGCCCCTCCCCCTGCTCCTCAAGCCCCTCCCCTTCACTGGTGGCACCGCTAATCACGTCATCGCCGCACACCAGGCCATGTGCTCCTCGTGCTCCATCCCGGTCCTCTTCATTTGGCCCCACCCTGCCTCCCTGTAACTCCACCTCTTTGGGTCGGGCCGAGCCAACCAGATCCCTTGGCTCCATCCACGCTCCAGCCAGAGCCAGTCAGGATGGGGGGGAAGCTGTGGCGTCCAGCCAAAAGGAAGATTGAGAACAGTAGTCTGTCCGACGGGTTGGCTGTTATCAATCAGCTACTGGGGTTGGGTCGGTTGTCCCACAGGAACGCAGCGAAGCCAGGGACAGTCTGCAGAGAAAGCAGGTAAATAATGTTATTGGTGAAGAAGGGCGAAGAAAACCTCCTGTCTGTCATCTCTATATCTTCCATTCCAGCAATGCATCTCTGCACAAACTGTACCACTGGTATTAACATCACTGCTGCCTGTAGTGTACGACAGACACACATACAAGCTCATCACAGATCTGTAGAGGTGTGCTGACACGCTCTCATTTGCATTTTGCACCTCGCACAAACAAATGTTTAGACATCCTCCATCACGTTCTTTCCTCTCATCTTTAATCTTGATTTACTAATCTCATCTCCCTCAATTAGTCCGTCACTCTATCACAGTGACGGATCTGAGGCACAGTGGCGCAGACACTTGAGTGATCAGTACAAAAAACGTATCTGCTCTGAAACCAGGCTGAAGTTAGCCTGAGGACAGAAGAGAGAAAAAATGAAAGAAGCTGACTTCTGTTTTTTTTTTTTTCAACAGAGCTGGGAAGAAGGGAGGAAATCACACAGGGGGGGGAAAGGGGAAGGCAGCAGAGAAAGACGGAGGGAAGGAATCTAAATTCTTTCCCCAGATGTGGTTTACGAGCTGGTCTGGAAAAACCAGCGTCTGAGCTGTTCTACACACGCATGCAGCGGCATTGCTGTGCACATGCATGAAAGCTCCATACACTTTAGTACATAACTGTGCACACATGTCTACACACAAATGACCATGTCGCTGTCACCAAATACACATCTACTCTCCTGCTGCTATTTCTAATCTCTGGAGAAAAAGTCTGCGGTAAACCATTTCTCGAGAGGACTCAGGTTTTTGGATCATTGCACATGACGGCACAGACATATATTACATACTTACACACACACGCTTTCACAGACATACACACTGGTATATAAACAGAGAGGAAGCAAAACAAACGTTTCACCACTCTTCTCACTACAGCTCCAGGGAATCCCATCAGTCAATATGACACAAGGCATGACTGAGCTGGAAGTGGAGAATGCTGTCTCACACCGATCTTCCACTGACACCATTTACACTGATGTGAACCCAGACTACCTGCGGACATGACTCAAGTGAAATCTTACTGCTCGCCGCAGAGTTACAGTGACCTGAGAGAACAGAAGGTTCACAGCGTATACACTGAGAGTTATACCCAGCTTCTACTCCCCGCTACTACACTCTGTCATTATTACAGTAGGTATTTTACACTAAACCTGTCTATGTGTGTGTGTACACTCCTGTACCAGCCCACGCTACTGTACTAACAGCTGATCCCCATCATAATACCCAGCAGACCTCACAGCACATGCTTACAGTGTGATTGAATAATCATAATCCACCGAGGTATTTCAACAAACTTGTCAGTATATGGGTCCACACACACACACACACACACACACACACACACACACACACACATTCACATAATGTCTGACCCTGAGGTGTTTTCTGTCATTTATAGATTAAATTAAAATAAAGAAACTGGTCTTCTGGTTCTGGTCGCTTCATGGCGGTTGTTACATAGCCAGTGAAAGAGACTAACAGATAAAAGGAACAAAACGATATATGAAAAGATTTCCACATCGATTCCACCACCTCACTGGAAGCCATCGATTCTGCCATTGATTCATTCATTAAGTGCAGTATGAAAAGGAGCTTGCAAAACTTGCTTGAGGTAGGCAATCCATCATCACTCATGTGGAATTTCACATTCATTCCATTTCTGAGGAGGGACTGCTTATAAGAAAACTTCCAAGGGAGAGACTTTAAAGTCAGCAGCAACCTTTCCCATTATCCTTTTAGTTTGATCCAAAACAAAGCTATCGCAAGACTTTTTGTCAAGTCACCAGTGTCCAAACCTCCTTAATTTAACACTTCCAAGATTTGCGGCAAGACGCCTTCTGGTTTCCGTTTTGAGTTTGACCAATAACATTTAAGGAGGTTTTGGTTGCCCACAGGTTAACAGTCTGTGTGGAGAGCAAAAGAGGCAAAACATTGACTGAAATGCATTTAAATTTGTTTGCCAAAATTTTATAGCACCAACAAAACCTATCGATGTTTTTGTTTTGTGTTGAGAAACGTTCAGCTCGTGTAGTAAAAGAAACCAGTAAAACGTGCCCAAGGGGCAATTTGTTGTCAGACGATATTTGATTGGCTCTGAGATTGGTAACCCAGCAGCCACCTCTGTCATCATCATTTTTATAATGTCATACCTTTGTCTTTAGAGTACGATTTCCCAACAGCAAAGCTTGTTATCGCTATGCTTTTGACAAAGCCTCCTTAATTTAACACTTCCAGTAAAACAAGTCCTCATGATAGACCCTGCATAACCCCACAAAACTGATAACACATAAATATAATCATTCAGTTTGAATGACTGCCTATCCCATGAAAATCTCTGAAACATGATTTAACACCCTCATTAAAATGAATTATACCCTGGCTTCCTGTAAGTTGGGAAACGGCTCCAAAAACCTTTCCAAGGTATGCTTTGGAAAACGGTCAGTAGTAATGTACAGTAAAGGCAATTTGCATTTAATGAGCTGAAACATGCAAAACCACTGCCGCTGCTGTAGCCGCTGCCGCTGCGGTCCTTGAGTAAGTTTTTACATGGGTACAAACCAAAAGACTATGAATTCAGGCTGGGTCTCGGGCTGGTCGTACATTGCCCACATGACCCTGTTTGGTCCTCCCAGTCTCTAATGTCAGCTCTGTGACTCTCCCTAATGGCATGTGTGGAAGCCACCCTGTCTGCCATGTGACTGAGGACAATGACAGGAAAAAGAGACAGTTGCCAACCACCACAAAACGAAACTTATCCACTTTGGGTGGCGCTCTTAAGACTTAGTGCCCCCTCTCTCAACTATAACCCGATATGACAACAAAATGGCGTCATACATCAGCACAATCTTCATTCTGGGCCATTACTCTGTAAACTACTTAGATGGGTCATGACTATTCCTCCTCCCTCCCTGCTTGGTGCCCTAAGCTGTGTTAGTTCTCTGTTACTGGCAGACAGGCTGAGAGTTTATGTAAGACTGACCCCTCCTCGGGCCTCCCTCACCGAGCTAGCCTGAGCCTTACTGTCTTCTCTGCCTCTCTCTCCTATCACACTCTCTCACACTCTCTCACACATATATACACACCTCGACTAGCCTCAGACAGCAGGGTGATTGTGAGTGGCCAGACTCGCTACATAAATAGCTTTATTATGTTCTCAAAACTGCCAGCACTAACCAGCTTCCCTCTCAAACAGCATAAGGTCATTCCCTGTGCTGGACGCGAGCGCCTGTGAGCGAGACGCTCCTCCAACATTCTGCCTCGTCCTTTTGAAAACAATTATGATAAAGCGTCGATAATGGAATACAGATGGACAGAGCAGAGATGGTGAACGATACAGACGCTCAGACATAACAGAGGGAGAGCGAGTCTGAGTGAGAAACACAGAGAGAGAGAGGGATGGCAGCAGAAACACAACCTTTTAAGGCTGCATACCCAGCAGCCCAGTGCCTGAGGTGGACTCACAAATAGCTCACACACACATACACATACACAGGCTCACACAACTACAAGCACACCAAACACCCGTGTGATTGCACAAGGTGAAGTCTGTTTTCTCTCCTCTTCTTTTGATGTGAGAGTGGTAGCTGAGGCTGGGCCATCCCTGGCTGTAGATGAGTATCTCAGAGGGATGATGAACATTGTCTGTTTGCTATTTTCATTTTTTCATTTATCTCCTTTTTCTTTTTTATTCCATGTCCTCCAGTGAAAGGGTCAATCATGTAAACCAATGTTTCTAGAAGGATCCAATCTTTGGTTGGGGAAAAAAATCAAAAAATAACGGCCCCAGCTTTCTAGCACTTCCAAATTTAGTGGGACCAAGCATTTTTTTTTGTGCTGGAAGTCTACTAGTCTTGTCCTGTTCTTTAATGTGAATCTGAGATAGATGCTGCAACTTGGTAGCGTATTCTGAGGCAAAGGAACTCATCTTTTTCACCCCATCCACATCAGCATAGCTTATTCAGCTTCTTTACAAACTTCTATCTGAAATGCAAAATTAAACCCCTTTCTCTCCCTCTCCCCAGTGCAGCATGGATGGCACAAGCATGTGTTTGGCTATAGGGCCGCGAGGAGTACAATCATAAAGTACCATGTGTGGGACAGCCATAATAGAAAATGACGGCCTCGCCGCCACTCTGTGCAGCCCTGCACACACGCACTCCTCTGGATGAGCCATATGCCAGGTAGAGCACTAAAAACCCATCCTCACCTAACTACCCCGCAGAAGCAGATGAATGTTAAACCATTTTAACTGCAGCAGAAGCCACAAAATGGCTGTCAGCAAAAAAACACCTCCCCTGTTCCCCCAACTATCTTCCTCCTTCCCTTTACCTCACCCCCCCTCCACCCCGACAACCTCTCGTTTCTCCCCCTCTCCCCCTACCTCTCCCTCTTTTTTTTTCTGTGTGCTCTGCCAAAAGGTGCTCCAGTGCTGATATTCTGCTAAGAGAGCCTGCCAACAGTTAGATTTGTCCTTGGATCCCATTCACATTCCCTCCTCCTGTCCCCCCATCGCCACCCCCCCCACCTCTCCTCTCTCTCCCTGTGATCTTATTTCGACCAGCTCAGAAGGGGGATACACCTAATCGATTTCTCATGCTTTAATTTAAAAGTGGCATGGGCATCTCATTACCTAATAGGAAGTTTAGTAGCCTGATTCATACTTTTACGCCACAATAAGGCACTGCTGGAGTTTTAACTCCCCCTCCCTCACCGCCACCCAAAACCTGTTAACAAGACAAGATCGATGGTTCCATTCGCGTCTGAATCACCTCTATTATCCATCCCTTA